GACTACCGCTACTACTTCTACTACCACTACTACTACGAATGCTGCTACTACGACTACTACTACTACTACTGCTGCTAATACTACTACTACTATTACTGCTACTACTTCTTCGATCACGACTACGACTACGACTACGACTACGACTGCCACAATCACTACCACTTCCACTACAACTACTACTACTACCTACTACCTACTACCTACTACCTACTACCTACTACTACTACTACTACTACTACTACTCCTACTACTACTACTACTACTACTACTACTACTACTACTACTACTACTACTACTACTACTACTAACTACTACTACTACTACTACTACTACTACTACTACTACTACTACTACTACTACTACTACTACACTGACTACTACTACTACTACTACTACTACTACTACTACTACTACTACTACTACTACGACTACTACTACTACGACTACTACTACTACTACTACTACTACTACTACTACTACTACTACTACTACTACTACTACTACTACTACCTACCACCTACTACCTACTACCTACTACCTACTACCTACTACCTACTACTACCTACCTGCCTACCTACCGACCTACCTACCTACCCACCTACCTACCTACCTACCTACTACCTCCGAACTACTACCCACTACCTACTACATACTACCTACTACCTACTACTGCTACTAGTACTCCTGCTACTCCTACTCCTACTCCTACTCCTACTCCTACTACCACTACCACTACTACTACTACTACTACTACTACTACTACTACTACTACTACTACTCCTACTAATCGTATTACTATTACTACTACTACTACTACTACTACTACTACTACTACTACTACTACTACCGCCTACTACCTACTACCTACTACCTACTACCTACTACCTACTACTACCTACTAACTACTACGACTACTACTACGACTACTACGACTACTACTACTACGACTACGACTACTACTACTACTACTACTACTACTACTACTACGACTACTACGACTACTACGACTACTACGACTACTACCACTACTACGACTACGACTTACGACTCTACTACTACGGGCTACTCAACTACAACTCTACTACTAATTACTACTGCTGATAACTAACAAGTCTGTCTTACTACTACTACTACTACTACTACTACTACTACTACTACTACTACTACTACTACTACTACCTACCACCTGCTACCTGCTACCTACTACCTACTACCTACTACCTACTACTACCTACTACTACGACTACTACTACGACTACTACTACTGGCCCCGCGACTACGACTACGCCACGCTACTACCTACTACTACTACTACGACTACGACTACGACTACGACTACGACTACTACTACTACTACTACTACTACTACTACTACTACTACTACGACTACGACTACTACGACTACTACATCTACTACGACTACTACTACTACGACTACTATTACAACTACTACTACTACTACTACTACTACTACTGCTACTGATACTACTACTACTACTACTACTACTACTACTACTACTACTACTACTACTACTACTACTACCTACTACCTACTACCTACTACCTACTACCTACTACCTACTACCTACTACTACCTACTACCACGACTACTACTACGACTACTACTACGACTACGACTACGACTACTACTACTACTACTACGACTACTACGACGACTACTACGACTACTACGACTACTACGACTACTACTACTACTACGACTACTACTCACTACACTACTACTACACTACTACTACTGACTACTACTACTACTACTACTACTACTACTACTACTACCTACTACCTACTACCTACTACCTACTAACCTACTACTACTACTAATACTACGACTACTACTACGACATAACCACGCTACTACTACCGACTACTACTGACGACTACTACTACCTCTACTACTACTACTACGACTACTACGACTACTACGACTACTACTACTACTACGACTACTAAGACTACTACGACGAACGATTATACGAACACTAACTACTACTACTTCTACGACGTCGACTACTGCTACTACTACTACTACTACTACTACTACGACTACTAAGACTACTACGACTACTACGACTACTACTGATACTACTACTGATACTACTGATACTACTACTACTACTACTACTACTACTACTACTACTACTACTACAACTACTACTTCTACTACTACTACTACAACTACTACTACTACTACTACTACTACTACTACTACTACTACTACTACTACTACTACTACTACTACTACTACGACCACTACTACTACTACCACCACTACTATTACTACGACTACTACTACTACTACGACTACTACTACGACTACTTTTACTACGACTACTACTACTACTACTACTTATAATAATACTACGATTACTACTACGATTACTACTACTACTACTACTACTACTACTACTACTACTACTACTACTACTACTACTACTACTACTACTACTACTACTACTACTACTTACTACTAACTACTTACTACTTACTACTTACTACTTACTACTTACTACTTACTACTTACTACTACTACTACTACTACTACTACTACTACTACTACTACTACTACTACTACTACTACTACTACTACTACTACTACTACTACTACTACTACTACTACTACTACTACTACTACTACTACTACTACTACTACTACTACGACTACTACTACTACTACTATTACTACCTACTACCTACTACCTACTACCTACTACCTACTACCTACGACCTACTACCTACTACTACTACTACTACTACTACTACTACTACGACTACTACTACTACTACTACTACTACTACTACTACTACTACTACTACTACTACTACTACGACTACTACGACTACTACTACTACTACTACTACTACTACTACTACTACTACTACTACTACTACTACTACTACTACTACTACTACTACTACTACTACTACTACTACTACTACTACTACTACTACTACTACTACTACTACTACTACAACTACAACAACAACTACTACTACTACTACTACTACTACTACTACTACTACTACTACTACTACGACTATTACGTGGTCGGGGACAGACGAGGTCCCCCCACGGGCATCGGCTGGGTCGCGGCTCAGGGGCCCGGCCCGCGAGGCCTCGGATACGCACATGTCTTTCGCCCACGACTGCCCGCAACATGGGGCCAGCTCCGCCCGATCTGGCGACAGGGCGCGCCGATTCTGCTCGGAAGCGCGACACGTCGCTAACCCACGCGCCCGAATCCATGTTTGCGCGTCCTCGAGAAACAGGCCTCGAGGGTCCGAAATGGCAAAAGCACCTCCCCGTCGAACCTCGATCGACGATCACGCTCGTTACCTTCAACGTCCACCTAACGAGCCTAAAAAAGAATCAACAAACGGGTACGTTGGCCAGCGACCTGACGCACGCAGCCGTTCTCAACGCCGGCACCCCTGCAATAATGCCCGATATAGGCCCTAGACTCTAGACTGGCAACATTCGGAGGGGTTCGAAAGTACCCGTGAGTGACCCTTTATGGTGTTGTAGACTTGGAGGCGGCCAGGGGATCTGAGCTGGTTGGGTCCTGAGAAAATCGGTCAAAAGAGAAGGAAATCTGTCCCCGGACCCCTCTCGGGGTTCAACTGGTGCAGTGTTTGACGCCGGATCCGTTTTTGACGGTCGTGAGGCTCGAAAGCGGTCCCTGGAGGCCCAGAAATGCAAAACACCTTCTCGAACCCAAAACCTCATTCCCCCCCCCCCCCACTCCTGCTGGCCGGAACCAGAGCTGGGCCACCTCAGACCCCCGGCCGGCTCCAACTGCTGCCTGCCTGCGCCCCAACCGGCGCCACCCAGCGGACCCCTGATGGGCCTGCTCTCCACGAGGAGTAGAAGGAGGACCCCCTGCCCCTCCAACTTGTGCTGGTGGCGGTGGAGAACAGGCCCCCAGCGCTGCCTCCCCTCGGAGGCAACGATGGGGCGACTGCCCCAGGTTTGGAGCAATACGTGTACTCCAGATTTCGTAATAAAAGGGAGGGGGTCTGGACCCTCCAAGACAAGCCATTTCAGATCCCCCGTGGGAGAACCCTCCAAAACATCGTCCCCAGACCCCCAAGGCCCTCCAAGATAGCCTGAAGAGACCCCCCCCCCCGAAATGAGACCCACCTCCCTTTATTACGAAATCTGTAGTACTCACGGGCGCCGATGATCCGTGTCTTCGGCGAGGCTCCCCCGGCGAATGCTGGTAACGCCCGCCCATGGGCTGCTCGCCCCTGTCGTTAGGTCGGGCATGTCCCCCTACAGGCCGCTTTTTGACGGATTTGTTTTGCCAGGCAGTACTCCAAAATGATCTAAAAATAGTCGAAACATATTTTTGAACCATTTTTGAATATCCCTCCTGTAAAGGGACACGCCCGACTTCATCCTGTCGTTGCCTCCGGCCTCTCCCCTGGGCCCCTGGGCTGTTCGTCCCTATCCGAGGGCTCCCACCTTCGCGCTTGTCGCTGCGCGAAGCGCGAAGTGCGAGCAACTTCGCGCTCTCGCGCCGCCTCCCAGGGGAGAAGAGGATGATGAGGAATCGGAGCCGAACCGCGAGGCGCGAGGCGCGAAGAACTTCGCGCCCTCGAGGGCGCCCTTGCGATCGTTGCCTCCGACCTCTCCCCACGGTTGGACGCCCGAGTTATCTGGGGTAACTCGGGTCCGGGGTAAGTCGGGTTCGGCTTCCCGAAAAACGAACCCGAGTTATCCCTGACCCGAATTACCCCTGATGATTCTGGGGCTCTGGACGCCCGAGTTATCCGGGGTAACTCGGGTCCGGGGTAAGTCGGGTTCGGCTTCCCGAAAAACGAACCCGAGTTATCCCTGACCCGAATTACCCCTGATGATTCTGGGGCTCTGGACGCCCGAGTTATCCGGGGTAACTCGGGTCCGGGGTAAGTCGGGTTCGGCTTCCCGAAAAACGAACCCGAGTTATCCCTGACTTGAGTAACCCCTGATGATTCGGGGCTCTGACACGGGGCGGTGCCTGCTGGCCGAAGCCCACCATCTGGCCGTGGGGCTTCTGCGGCTGCGCCTGAGGCGGCCTCGGGGCGGGCTGCGTCTGCTGCGGCGGCTTCGCCTGGCGGCGGGGGGGGGCATCGCCAGGTGCGCCTGGGCCCCTGAGGTCAGCAGCTCCGGAACCACACCCAAGCCTCCGACGATACGTTCCAGTGTTTCGGGGATCTTCTGACCCGGGTCAATCCAGACCCGGGTCAGCAAGAAACCAAAAACTGCAATGCAGGAACCAAAAACTGCAACGCAAATCTTCGCAAACTCGGGTCAGCCAATATGCGCGGCCGCCTCGCGGCCACGAGCGGCTCGCTAACCCGGGTCGGACAGAGGGGGTCTTCGCAGGATCCTGCAGGATCTGGTGCCCTGGCTGACCCCCGTTTGCATTGACCCCCGTCTCAAGGCTCCCGAATGTTCTGGTTATTCTAGATCCCGGCGTTTTTCGGCCTCGGTCTGTGTGGACCGTGAGCAGGGTCCGAGGCCATCAGGCACAGATCTGAAACGAGTCGTGCGGGCATTCTGGGGCCGCGCATTGCACGACATAAACCGTCGGATGCCTGGGCACGCGCACGTGCGATGTGTAGCTCAGTTGTTCCCACCGAGCTTCACAAGAGGAGAAACAGAACGGCAGAAGCATTAACTTTGAGGCCCGCGCGGGTCACTTGAGCGACGGGTCTTGCGCGACATGACACCGAGACCTTACGCGGCGGCTTACGCTAGGGCTCCCAACTTCGCGCTTCGCGCTGCGCGAAGCGCGAAGCGCGAATAACTTCGCGCTCTCGCGCCGCCCTCCCAAAGGGAGAATAGGAGGACGAGGAGGAGGGGGAGAAGGAACGAGGACCGCGAAGCGCGAAGCGCGAATAACTTCGCGCCCTCGAGGGAGCCCTTGACATGACACCGAGACCTTACGCGGCGGCTTACGCGGGCCGCCAGCGCGGCACGTTAAACTCGGAGACGAGGGCGCTTACGCGCGACCTGACGCGGGCACCGTACGCGCCAATGTCGGCACAGACGACCCTCTTTTTTTGCGAAGCTCAGATCGTTCCGTGTTGGCCGAGCCTGGGCCACTGGAGGCCGCGTCACCACGACGAGAATATGCCGTGCGCCCTCGATGGCGACGGAGACCAGCCTCGGGGATGACGGCCGCCCGAAGCGGGGTCGGAGTAGATGCGGTCGGAGGATCGCGCCGCATCGCCGATGCATCGCCGATCGGTGTGGAGAGCATCGGGCTCCACATTCGGGCGTGCCTGACCGACCCCTAGCAAACCATTCCCTTCATGGCGCGCGGAGCATGCCGCCAGGGGCGGCGCCGGAGCCGCCGCCAGGGGTCCCACTGCCAGCCCAAGAAATCTGCGCCGAGTTCCGGAAATGTACACCCTGCGAAATGCTTAAGAAATCATGGGTTAAGAAATTCATAGTCTCAGAATCTGAATAAAAAACCCAGAATGTCTATTCAAATCTTGGGATTTACATTGAAACATTAAGAATAATCGAGACTCTGGCCGAAAACTTGGGTTTTCTTAACCATCGCCTAAGGTGTATGCTGCGTTGCCTCTTCAATGAATTGCGCCACGAACCATGGCAACGTCATTGATCATTCGCTGTGCTGCGGCCTCCGGGGCCGAATCCAGCGCAATATGCTTGCATGTGTGCTTATATATGTACATACCTATATCTCTATATATCTATATATATATATATGTATATATAGTTATATATATAGATATATACAGGTGTCCAGCCTTTGGCAAGATCTCTGCTTACTGTTTCTGCAACAAGCGCGTCTCTTTTAGATCCAGCTGATGCGACATCGCCTTCGGACAATTTTCTCAAGGCTCTTCCTCTCTCTCTCTCTATATGTATATATCGTCATGCACTTTAGGATGTCCGTTTAAACTTCTCGATCATATTCGTGGCTCCCTTCTGCTGGTGAGGGTTCCAAACGCATGAGGGTTTCCCACTGCTGGTGTATACCTAGCGGGGTTCCCGGCACTCCGCGCGAGCGCGTTCGGATGCGACAGCCAACGCGGAACAGATCAGAGGTGAACGGTCACGGCAGAAGAGGAGACAGACAAAGAGAGGAGCACACTACAACAATGCAACGTTCATCTGCGAGAAGAAATGATGACGAAGCAAGGCAGAGGAATCATGAATATGGGCGCATCCTCGCAGTGAGGTGAAGAGCTTGGCTCATCTTAAAAAGGCCCTGGGCGTTGTTTAGCGTTTTCGAGTTTGGGCTTTTGACATGTTGAAAACGCTCAAAACAGGCTAAATTTCTTTTAGCGTTTTCAAACTAGTTTTTTTGGCCTGTTCGGGTCCGCTGCTGTGATACAGCGTTCTGTTGCGCTTTTAGCATTATCGTCGAAGGCTCCCCAATGTTTTCTCTGCCAGCTTGGCTCCCGCGCTCCACGCCCTGCCACCGTTCGCCCTTTCTGCCCCCCCTTCCCTCTCCCGGATCGACGCACCTGCCTTGATCCATGAGCTGCGAACACGGGGAGGGGCCCAAAAAATGGTTCCCGCGCGGAGACCTAAAAACGCAAACAAATGCTCTGACACCGGTCAAACACCGGAAAAGGGGGTGACAGCAGGGGAGGGCGGGCTTCCGCGACGAGTCACCAGCGACGGCCACAGAAAAGCAAACTTGTATAAAGAAGACCATAGGGATACGCAAGAAGAAGGAACCACGCAATCCACAGATCAGAAAACGCGAAAAAAAACTGAAAACGCTGAAACATGCATCATTTGTTTAGCGTCTTCTTTTTCCCAACCATCCTGTGGTGTTGGGTCCTCGATTTCAAGAGACAGCGCCCCACGTCACTCCTCCTCCTCCCGCTGCCCCCTCCCAGTCCTCCCATCCCTGCCTCTCCTGTCCCTGTGACGTCATCACCATCAATATCGTGATCTCTATCGTGAGCACCATCGCCGTCATCAGCGTCATCAACATCGCCATCGTCAGCGTCGTGACTCTGTTCTCCGCATGCCCACACACGGCTCGTGGCCCCACATTTCGGCACTCCCACATTCCTCTGTTCTCCGCATTTCGGCACTCCCCTCACACGGCTCGTGGCCCCACACGGAGCTCCACCGAAGGCTCCAGTGGCAGGGTCCGCATGCATCAACGGCACCCATTTCGGCGCACCCCTCACACGGTTCGTGGCCCCACAGGGAGCTCCACCGAAGGCTCCAGTGGCAAGGTCCGCATGCGTCAACGCCACCCATTTCGGCACCCCCCTCACACGGTTCGTGGCCCTACAGGGAGCTCCACCGAAGGCTCCAGTGGCAGGGTCCGCATGCGTCAACGCCAACCATTTAGGCGCACCCCTCACACGGTTCGTGGCCCCATAAGGAGCTCCACCGAAGGCTCCAATGGCAGGGCCCGCATGCGTCAACGCTACCAATTTAGGCACACCCCTCACACGGCTCGTGGCCCCACAAGGAGCTCCACCGAAGGCTCCAGTGGCAGGGTCCGCATGCATCAACGCCACCCATTTCGGCGCACCCCTCACACAAGTCGTGGCCCCACAGGGAGCTCCACCGAAGGCCCCAGTGGCAGGGTCCGCATGCGTCAACGCCACCCATCTCGGCGCACCCCGCGCACGTTTCGTGGCCCCATAGGGAGCGCCATCGAAGGCAGGCCCCCCCCGCACACGGTTCGTGGCCGCACAATGAAGTCCACCGAAGGCCCCAATGGCACAGGCGGCACGCGGGAACCGCCACCCATTTTGGCACACCCCCCACACGGTCCGTGGCCCCATGGGGAGCTCCACCGAAGTCTCCAGTAGCACAGGCCGCACGCGGGGACCGCCACCCATTTAGGCACACCCCTCACACGATTCGTGGCCCCAAGAGGCGCCCAGACAGGGCACGTGCTGTCGGCACGGGTGGAGGAGGAGGAGGAGGAGGAGGAGGAGGAGGAGGAGGAGGAAAGGAGAAGGAGGGGGAGGAGGGGGAGGAGGGGGAGGAAAGGAGAAGGAGGAGGAGGAGGGGGAGGAGGAGGAGGAGGAGGAGGAGGAGGAGGAGGAGGCGGTGGAGGAGGGGGGGGGGATTGGGCAAGGCGCCGCGAAGCGCAGACGCAGCCCCAGGTATGACAAGGAGAGTACGCTGGGAAAGAACATGACGACAAAACGGCCGCGCAAGGGGCTCGGGCCACCGCGGGCCCCGGTCTCCTCCGTACCGTCTCCTTCGTCGGGCTAATCTAGGGCTCCCAACTTCGCGCTTCGCGCTGCGCGAAGCGCGAAGCGCGAATAACTTCGCGCTCTCGCGCCGCCCTCCCAAAGGGAGAATAGGAGGACGAGGAGGAGGGGGAGAAGGAGCGAGGACCGCGAAGCGCGAAGCGCGAATAACTTCGCGCCCTCGGGGGAGCCCTTGCTAATGCTGTTGAGACCTGAAAGCGCTAAAATAATGGTTTCCAAGACGCCGAGCTGAAACAACGCCCCCAAAAAACGCCCTGGGCACCTCCTCCTCCTCCTCCTCCTCCTCCTCCTCCTCCTCCTCCCACTCCTAGCCCTTTCGATCAGGGTCGGCGGCACCGGCCGTCAGGCCTCTCCAATAATGGTTTCCAAGACGCCGAGCTGAAACAACGCCCCCCAAAAACGCCCTGGGCATTTTAAGATGAACCAAGGTGAAGAGGATAGCTCCATTGAGAAACGACAGGGAACGACGCTGCCCGTGAGAAGATCTGCCCAGGGACACGTACTGCGTGCACTCGACATTGACGCGAATGCCGCCAAAATGAGCATGACAGTGAGAGAAAGAGAGAAGCGATTACACACGAATGGGTGGCGATGTGACCTTTTATCGTTAGCATTTTGCCGTTCGTGCGCGCGCATGTGGTTTAAGAAACCTCGCTGGCGAAGTGGTCGGCCGATTAGCACAGTCGAAGCCGTGTCGGCGCTAACGGATGCCCAAACCTCCAGGGAGTCCTCTGTAACAGCGGCATCGGGCCCGAGCGCACTGGAGAATCCGGCAGAGGGAGAGCGGCGTGGCAAAGCAGAGCAAGAAGGTACTACAGAACATGAAGTGGGAGGACTCGCGGACCCTCTGGAGGACCTACAATGGGAGCCCCACTTCAACCCACAAAGGGATCAACCGTGGGAGACGTCAAGGACACGCTGGAGCACCTACAACGGGAGCACTCGTGAATCCACGAGAGGGCAGGGAGTGGAAGCACTCGAAGATCCACTAGAGGATCGACAGTGGAAGCACTCGGGATCCAGTAGACGAATGATAATCAAGGCGCCCATGGATGCACTGAGTGGTCCGGAGTGGGAGTACGAGTGGATCTACTTTGTACACTCGTGTATTTACAATGGATCCACTAGTGGTGGAAGCACAGTGGATCTACTCGAGCGTCAGGACTCAATTCATGATCTGGACATACCGTACCTCATCGTCAGAATTCACGGTGTGGCTTTTTCTCTTGCGCCCATCTCCCCTTCTTCCCGCTCATCCTCCGAATGACAATTGATGGTTCTGACAACGAGGCGTCCTAGTCAGCGGTCGGCACGCCAAACGCATGCCGACCGACAAGGCCCTCCTGGTGAGCTGAACGCCCACACTTCGTTTACCAATGACAAGATAGTCGAAGGCAGTACCAACAAGTTAGTCTCCCTGTCGTTGGCGGTCAGTCATCATGGACACGTCGCCCAACGCAGACCTGCATATGTGGGGGCTAGGGTCGCGCCAACCCTGGCGTACATAGCTGCAGCAGGGAGCTTTCAAACAGAACCATCTTCAACGACCGAGATGGCCGCGTTGACCCAAGTGCAATTCAACATCGTCGTAGGAATTGCCCCGCAACCCTATCCTGACAATCGGCCGGAAGAGGAGTAGGAGGAGGCAAGGAGGGAGAGGACTGGGAGGGAGGAGCAGATGTGGGAGGATGAATTGAGCCATGTGCCCGAACCCGACGCCACGGTTCTCGTCCGCGCCTTCCTCCGCGGCCATCTCGGGCACCAGCGGCAAGCCGTCGCCGCGCCCTTGCCGCACTCCGTGCAGCAAGCGACCCTGGCCCCGTCGGGCATGGGCACCTTTTGGCACCCGCAGAGCTTTTCTTCTCCCAGCACAGATGGTGCGAAAGGGATGGCACTAGATGCACAAACGGCTGCCGTGGGTAGGGAGGCATATGGCTCCCTACCGCCACGCTCTCCGAGAGATTTGGCACCCGCAGAGCTGCCCCGCCCTGCCGGCGACGACGCGCCGGAGCCTGCCCGCGGCGCCGATGCGCAGCGCGCCGGCAGCAGCGCCGCGGGCTCCTTGGGCGCCCGAGTTATCCGGGGTAACTCGGGTCCGGGGTAACTCGGGTTCGGATTCCCGAAAAACGAACCCGAGTTATCCCTGACCCGAGTTACCCCTGATGATTCGGGGCTCTGAGCAGCAGCGCCGCGGGCTCCTGCGTGGACCTGGGCGGGCAGAGCTGCTCCTTCGTCCCGGCAGAAGCCCCTCGGGGGCAGACGCTCGGGCGCCTCTTCGACGACTCCTCGAACGAAGGATTGCAAAAAAACCCAGGATTGCAAAAAAAACCCAGGATTGCAAAAAAAAAAAAACCCAGGATTGCAACAAAAACTCAGGGTTTTTTTGCAATCCTTCGACCTGCCTCACGCGCTGCCCTCCGCGGTCTGCCTCCGACGTCGAGCGCCGCCACGCTCGGGTGAGAGGTCGCCCCGTCGAGGGTCCCCCTGTGGTGAGCTCGTGCGTCCCGTCGTTCCGCAGGTCCTCGGGCAGCACCTCGTGCATGGAGGACCCGCCTCAGCAAGAAGCAGACACTATCATCGACGGACTGCGCCGCCAGGCCGCTCTCGAAGCCCTCCTGGGAGCGGGAGGCCGTCCGCGGAGCACACGTGACTCGCCACCTCGCTGCGCGGTCTGGTGCGGAAGGGACCTCCCGAGGCCGTCGCCCAGCAGCAGCACGAGGGCATAGGAGATGGCCATGATCACAGCGCCAGGACGGCCCTTCTCCTGGGAAAGCGTGCCGTAACCCTGGACGGCGGGGGCGGTGCTGGCAGAACCGCCGAAGAAGCCCGTCCGCCCGTGCTGGGGCGCCGTGCAGGGTGGGCGCGCTGCCGCACGGCTCCCGGATCGGCTCGCTGATGGCCTCCAGGGGCCCCTTGCCGAGGACGTCGAGCCCCTTCTCGACCTCTCTGCCGGTAGCATCGTGACTGGCCATCGCTCGGACGCCCATTCCCTAAGTTTTTTTTTTCGGTTTCGTGCGTGGCTTAATGTTCTTGTACGATTTAATGTTGTTTTTTGGTTTAGTGCTCTTGTGCGGTGACCTTAATGCCAGGCTGCATATCCAGAGGCCCGGCGAGGAGGCCATCATGGGAAGACATGTTTTCGGCAACCCGCATGCGGAGTACAACCCAGTCGAACCGGTCCCTGCTCGTAGAGCAGTGATGCACAAAGGAGTTCGTAATCGCCAACACGTTCTTCGATGAGCCGGCAAAGCGGCAGATCCCTTGCTACGACATTGGCTCGTCTCCATCAAGTCCCAGAACACACGACCACTTCGGCCAGATAGACTTCATTGCCGTTTCTTCTTCGTGGTTAGGCTCGGTGCACAGGGTGTGGAGCGACAAGACCCGAGCACTTGCTCCTCATCATTTTCTTGTCAAGGCGTCGCTCACGAGGGAGGTCCCGAAGACAGAGCCCAATGAGGGCCGGAAGAGAAGAGATGTCGCTGCCCTCCAGGAGCCGGGCGTGGAGCACACCTTCGCCGCTGCGTTCTGCGCTCACGTGGGGCCCATCGGCGAGTGCCCAGAGACCGCCCAAGAGCTGAACGAGCAGACGATCGGACCTCTGCACGCAGCAGCCGACGAGACTCTCCCGGAGGTTCCGCTGTGCCCGAAGAAGCCGTGGATTTCGGAAGGCACGCTGGAGTTCCTGCGCCATCGCGACCTAGCACGTTCAAGTTGCGACGTGAGGAAAGAAAGAGATCTGAACAGATCGGTGCGGGCATCCGTGAAGCAGGACCGATCGGAGTGGCTAGAAGAACAACTCGCGACGGGAGACTCGTCGCACGTGCGGAAGCTCCGAAAAGGCGTCGCCCCGAAGCAGGGCCGGCTTCGGAACGCGGCCGGGGCGCTCGTAGACTCCGATTGCCGAGCGGACACTCTGGCGCAATATCTCAGCCAAGTCCAATGGGCCGTGCGGCCCACTGACGCAGCTGGGACTGACGACCCCCTCGGCGCCGAGCTCCCAGTGTCGTGCCCGCCCGTGTCGGAGGAGGAGGTCGTCCGGGCTGCTTCCAAACTGCGGCTGGGCAGAGCTGCTGGTAAGGACGAGATGCCATGTGAGATTTGGACAGCAATTTGCAGGCCTGGGTCTGAAGCTTGCCAATGGGCGACTGCACTCTGCCACATGTGTTGGTCTGGCCATGTCGTCCCAGATGGGTGGCACGAGGCGGTCGTGAGCGCTAACTTCAAAAAGGGAGACGTGTCACAGTGCGAGAATTATCGGCCGATTTCATTGGTCTCTGTGGGATACAAGTTATTCGCTGCAAGTCTTCTCAACAGACCCAAGAGCGGAGGCGCAGAACAGAGGGCATGGAGTACCCAGTATTGGTTCAAGAGCAAGCGCGGCACGGCTGACGCGATTTTCTTGGTCCGGCGTCTGCTGGAAAAGACGCGTGCAGAAAAAGACGGGCGCCTGGTGCTCCTCGCCCTTGACTGGGCTAAAGCATTCGATAGCGTTTCGCCGGATGCTCTTTGCTGGGCCCTGCAGAGATTCGGCATCCCACCAGAATTTATTAACGTTGTACGAGCCATCTACACGCACCGGACATTCGAGGTTCTGGACGCGAGGTCGGTGTCCAACGCTTACCCGCAGAATTTTGGAACTTTGCTATTGTAATAACTGTTCTGCTGCACGACGCAAAGCGGGAGGAGGAGGAGGAGGAGGAGGAGGAGGAGGAGGAGGAGGAGCAGGAGGTGAAGGAGGAGGAGGAGGGGGAGGAGGAGGAGGAGGAGGAGGAGGAGGAGGAGGAGGGAGGAGGAGGAGGAGGAGGAGGAGGAGGAGGAGGAGGAGGTGAAGGTGGAGGAGACCTGATGCAGCAGGTGCACGAGCTGGTGTACGCCGACGACACGCTGCCCGTGGCCACCACGTGCGAGGAGGCCTCCGAGTATATGCGTTGCGTGCAGCGGGCTGAACAGCAAGATGGCCTCCAATTCAACTGGCGAAATTGGATGTTCCGTCGGCGGGGTGCAACGCGCGCATCCTACAACCGGACGGGAATGCAATTTCGCAGAAAGATAGCATAATTTACCTCGGGAGCTTGATTGCCAGCGATGGGAAAGTCGGCACGGAGCTGTCGCGCCGAGCCGACTGGGCGCTGCCAGGGCCGAGTTTGAGACTCTGGCAAGGGTGTGGTCACACTGGACGCTGGACAATGCGAGAAAACTGCGGATCTTTGACGCTTGCGTGGTGAGCAAGCTGCTATATTGTCTTCATACGTCTTTTCTGAGCAAACAAGAGCTTCGCAAATTGGACCCTTCCAAGTCAGGTGCCTCGGGAACGTTTTTCGTATTCCACACTCTTACATAAGTAGAGTATCCAATGAGCGGGTCCTAGAGCGCGCCGGATCCAAGCCGCTGAGCAACGCTCTACTTCGCCGCCAGCTGCTCTTCCTGGGGCACGTTGCCCGGAAGCCAGGCGACGACCCCGTGAGACAGACAGTGTTCCGGCCTTTCTCACACGAGCTGGCGCTGTCCATGTTCAGGAGGAAGAGGGGCAGACCGAGAAAGACATGGAGCTGTGAGATTCATGCGCACGCTGTCCGGGCAGCTGGGGGTGAGGAGGCCCTTGCGCATCTTTGGCAAGATTCAGCGCCGTCCATCACAGCCTGGCACGCGTCCGTCACGCGGTATTGCGATGCCCTCTGAGGCTGCTTTTCGTGCTCATGTGCGTTCTTGCACTCAGCTTCTCTCTCTCTCTCTCTCGTGCGCGGCTTTTTCGCAGGATGATCCAGGATGCTCCTTACAACTCCCCGCCGAGAAAAAATGCACACGTCCGAGCGATGCCAAGCCCCTGCCGAAGACGTTGAGCCCCTTCGCGACCTCTCTGGCGGTAACATCGTGGAGGGCGTCGTGGCCCCCGTGGCGGCCGGCCGGCCCTGCTGCACCGTGCGCGCGGGCTGCGCCAGGTGTCGGCTCGGCGCCGCTGCAGGCACTGGGCGGTGTGGACGCACGCGCTCTCAGCTCGGCTCGGGCAGTCCCCTAAGAGGCAACTACTGGGAGGTTTTCGATGGAAAGACTAAGGAAAATTAAGCCCCATTTGGAAGCTGTTACGCCGGAGTGGGCCTCGGAGTAAACAGGTTCAGCCGGATTAAGCGGGATTAAGCGGGATTAAGCCGGATTAAGCGGGATTAAGCGGGATTAAGCCGGATTTCGGACCAGGGCGAAAACAGAATTTGACCTCCCAGGAGTTGCATCCGAAAGTCCCCAGCCTTCTGAGAAGTTCTCCAACACAGTCTCCCCCGAGGGCACGGAGCGCCACCCAGGGGGCGCGAAGGCCTCTGAGAAGTCCACCTGCCCTCCGAGAAGGCCTTCTCCGTCTCACTTCCCCCCCCCTCGCTCGCCGCCGAGGTATGGACGCACGCCTTCAGTACCTGCAGCTGGGAGGGCTGGCCGTGCGCCGTGCCTGCCTGCAGCTGCAGCTCCACGGAGCGGGCCACGAGGCTGCTGTCGGCTGGGAGCGCAAGGAACGCCCGCCCGGCGCCTCCAGGCGCCACGGGCAGCGGCGCCACGGTCGCGAGGAAGGCCAGCGCTGTCGCTTTCTGCGGAGCAGCCGGGCAGAAAACCTGCAAATGCCCGGGCGGGCGCCTGTGATACAGGGATCGCGGAGACGGCGCTCGAGCCATGATTCCTTGAACCACCCTGATACCCCGCAAATGCTGTCAGTGACATGGGGCCCACCAAAAAGGGTGGATCATAGCGTTTGAGTTCCTCCAAGGCGCAACACTGCACGACTATAAGGACTCTGGCACTGACCACCATTCTATGGCTGTCCGTCCCGTGTTGCTGCCTACCAGCCCGATGGGTATCTTGCCGCCCAGGCCGTGGAACACTTCCCATCCAGACACAAAGAAACAGAAAATTCCCCGATGGCGTTCTGTCGCCATCGCTCGGGACGTCCATTCCCTGCGCATTCTCCAGTTTCGTGCGCACATGTTTCAGAAGCTGATCCAAGATGCCCCTCGATGGTCCTCGCCGAAGGGACATGCACACGTCCGAACGATGCCAAGTCGATCGCTCTCTTGGCCAGATCCCAAGGCTACCCCTTTGGGGCAACCAGGCGCGTGATGTTGCCAGGAGCGTGGCGCTCCTCCCCCCTCTTTCTTTCCCTGGTCCCCTGCCATTCCCTGGACCGGGAGGAGGCGGAGGAGGAGGAGGACGAGGAGGATCGATGGAGGATACAAGGGAGGCTGCGGTAGCTTCGTGCAGCGTCGGCGCGCGAAACGCGCCGGTTCGTCACCGCGTCGACCGTGCAACCTTGAACCGATAGCAACCCCGATCGTTCAAAATTGAATTCCGTCGGGTCTTGTGGAGTTGCCGTGCCACTCGGTGTTACCGCGTCGTTCTATCATGCGGATATAAACCTTGAACGCCTTCGCAAACGTCGCCAGGCGCCATCGTCGCATGAACTTACCGCAGGGAGGAACAGGTGGACGACGTGAAGCGGAAGGACGGGGAGGAACAGGAGGACGACGTGAACAGGAGGAACACGGTGAACAGGAGGACGACGTGAACATGAGGACGACGTGAACCGGGGGGAGTCTGAGGAAAGAACAAGAGGACGACGTGAAGCACAATGACGGGGACGAGCTAGGCCTGGAGGGAGCCAACGAGCAACACAATCGGGGAGGACGCTGCCGCACCACCGGTGCCTTATGCAGCGAGGAGCACACTCCAAATTCATGTAAGAGTAGGACATGCTGCAGGTTGCTGTAGCAGGAGGGGGGAGAGGAAAGGAGATTGAATATCTGGGGAGAGAAAGGAAACGAGAGAGAGAGAGGGAAAAGGAGTGAGAGAGAGAGAGAGGCAGAGGGAACACGGGAACACGTGATCTGGCCTGTGCCTTGCTGTCCTGGGAGCTGGACGGCGCGCTGGAGGAGGCCGACTTGTTGAACCTCCTCGCCAGCCAATCGTCCATCTGCGCCTCGCTGTTGGCTCCTGAAAAAAAAGGGGGGGGGCGGAGGGGCACGAGGTGGTGGGCAGCAGGAATCGGCCTAAACAGTGTTGTTCGTTTTCGTTGTGTCTTCGCGCTCTCTCGCTTGTGCATCCACTCCGCCTCTCTGCGGCAAAACGGATTCGACGAAAGCGGCACGCGAAATCGCCCACACACGATTCAGGTCGACCCCTGCCGAAGAACTACCTGATATAGGTGTGCCTAATTTGGTTCGCGAGCACCCGCTGTACACCTTAGGCGATGCTTAAGAAAACTTGAATGTTCGGCCAGAGTCTCGATTATTCTTAACGTTTCAAGGTAAATCCTAAGATTTTAATAGATTGTTTGGGTTTTTATTCAAGTTCTGAGACTATGAATTTCTTAACCCATGATTTCTTAAGAATTTCGCAGGGTGTATGCTGTATGCTTGGCACCACGCAGAAAACACGGTGGAGAAGCGGGTGGTGGAACAGAGCGAGGGGCATTGGCGACCGAGAAACGTGGGCGGGGCAGCGCGAACGAGAGAGGAGCAGGCCAGGATTCAGCACCGTGGACGAGACAAGAAGGAGAAGGAGGGGGCGGGGAGGATTTACGAAGGGGAGTGGAGGGGATTGTGGGGGGGAGCTCGGCGGGGGAAAAGGGTGTGGGGCAAGGAGATAAGAGGGAAGGGAGGGGGAAAGGGGAAGGCTGATAATCAGGGAATGGAAGGCCGAACGAGCCACCTTGCCCCCGCCGCCGCCGAATCGTTCGGTCCCCGCGCCCCTTCTGGCGCACGCGGGGTTCCCCAAGCCGACGAATGCGACGAGTTCAACGCAGCGTCCCGCGCCCTCGGAAGCTCGGGGGTGCCCCGAACATCGGGAGCGGCCAGGAGGGGGGTGTCCAAGGGGGGGGGGTGCAAATCATGACCAGCGGCACGTGCGCGGCCCAGCGGGGAGGCCAGGGACGCAAAGACCTGGGGAAATATCATGGCCCCCGCCATGATATCCACCCCCCTAGTCATAACCCCCCTCTTTTCCGCCCCCGAGAATGAGGACAGCACAACCCACCCCCACCCCCACCCAGGGCACCCACCTCCGACCTGGTGGTCCAGGGTGCCCTGGGTGGGGGTGGGGGTGGGTTGTAAGAGCCGCGGGGCCCAAAAACACACCCCCACCCCCACCCAGGGCACCTTGGATCACCAGGGCGGAAGTGGGTGCCCTGGGTGGGGGTGGGGGTGGGTTGTGCTGTCCTCAGAGAACCGCTGGCGAAGGAGGGGGGCCGAGCCGGTCACCTCGCCCCCCGGGTGCCGCCGCCCAGTCGCTCGATCCCCGCGTTCCTGCCCGAGGGCGCGGGGCCCTCCGAGCTCCGAGGGCGCGAAACGCTTCCATTGGAAGCGTCGCCCTCGAGGACTCCTCGAGACCTCCTTAGGAATATTCGGGGTAAGTCCTTAGGATTCACAGAGGAAACCTTGGGATTCACCAAGACTTCCTTAGGATTCCTCGAGCATTCCTTGGGATTCCTCAGAGGCGCCTGGGGGGCCCCCGAACCCCGGAAGCCCCGAGGGAGGACCCCATGACCCCTCAAACAGCCCCAAAAGGGCCCCAAGGTGCTCCAAAAGAGCCACGAGAGGACCCCAAGACGCCCCCCAAAAAATCCACAGCTCCGAGAAAGCCTCCGATGCTCCAAGATAGCCTCAGACATGGCGCAACACATTCCTCCCCCACTTCTCTTAGACCGCTCAGTTTCACTATATGCGTCTATGTTTTCCGTTTCCCGTCAGCTCTCGTGGGCCTGGCTTCTGAATGGGCTGGAAGGGATTTGCGAAGCGTAAACAATTCCACTCGTGACATGCCGGAGGTCCGCGGAGAAGCCCGTATCCGCCAGCGGGGCCTGTGGGCGTGCAAACGACGACGACGAGGACGAGGCTGATGACGAAGTCGTTGACGACGACGGCGCTGACGACGAGATTCGGGCAAGTTCACTTGCATGGCATCCCCCCCCCTCCGACGCCTTTTCAAACAACGCTGGGCCGAAAAGGTGTGCAAGTGTGTCCCGGGTTGCCTGACCCATTGCGGGCCTCGCCCACCCCCTCCCCCATCCATGCAAATAACCTTGCCATTGCCATCGCTCGGACGTCCATTTCCCATGTCTGTTTCGGTGTCGTGCGCGCCTGTTTCCCGCAAGAAGATCCAGGATGCTCCTCGACGGCCCTCGCTGGAACATGTGTACACGTCCGAGCGATGCCAAAGAAGAGAGCGGCGTCCCTCAGGGCAGGGCCCTGGCCCAGGCCGGGACAACGACGGAAAGCATCGGGCCCCCTTTCCCTCTTCACACTAGGAACCGCGGGGCCCGCGGGGAGGAGGAGGAGGCGGGACGAGGGGTAGGAGGAGGAGGAAGAATAGGAATAGGAATAACCCTGGGGCACCTCGCCGTCTATCCAGCCTGACCAGATTGGGGCACTTAGGTTCTACTTCTGTAGGGCATCGCGGGCGGCTTGCGCGCTGACCAGCACTGCGAGGCAGGCTGGCACTGGCCCAGCGGCGCGCCCACATGGCGCGCAGCCAAACGGCTGCCACTTTCAGCACCATCCTCAGGGAGCATCTTGCCTGAGTGGCGCTTCGCTAATATGAACATGACACCGCCAGGAGAGCCTGGGAGAAAAAAGGCCCCACACGGGCGCAACCTCCTCTCAAGCATTCCGAGCAACACCTTTTCCACGTCTAGCACCTCTACCACGACGGGGGGTCTGGCGTGGAAACTCAACTGCAGGCCCCACTTCGGGGGCATTTATGAAAGCAACGCAAGTGTGTGGAGGGAGAGAGGGAGGACTCAAACCAGGAGGGGGGGAAGAAACAGTAGGGATGACGACAGTGATCGAATTGGGAGGAGATTCGCCCTGTACCCGCCTGGCCGCATCCCCTGAAAGCTGTCCCGACCTCAAGAGAGCCACGGTCCTCTCACTCTGCCGCCAGTCGAAGCCCGTCGGAGCAGAGGAGGAGGAGCGCCCACGGCCGCCGCCGCGTCCTGCTGGTCTCACTTCACGGCGTCCAGCAGCCGCTGCGCCTCGCGCACCAGAACGCCTCTGGGCGTTCCCCCGATCGTCTTGGCCCCGCCAGCCTGCTTCAGCGTGAACCGAATCGCGCACGGCAGCTGCCTGGAGTCCTCGGCCTCGCTCGCCAACAGGAACTGAACTTTCACTGGCCCCTCCCCGCCCTTCTTCGCCTTCAAACGCTTGGCACTGCAAAGCGGACCATGTCCGCCGCCGTCTCTGGACTCTGGGCCTTCATCACCGTGTTCACCCAGTACTTCTGAGCGGGGATCTTCTCCTGCTCCAGCTCCGTCGCGCCCTCCTCCTTCGCCGCTGCCCCCTGGAAAAGAGCACGAACGCACTTGCGCACGTGGAGCGTGCAACTTCTTCTTCTTCTTCTTCCCGATATCCGTGCCCCCTGGCTCCGCTGCTTCCTTCCCTCTCTCTCTCTCTCTCTCTCTCTCTCTCTCTCTCTCTCTCTCTCTCTCTCTCTCTCTCTCTCTCTCTCTCTCTCTCTCTCTCTCTCTCTCTCTATGGCGCTCCACTTGCGCCTCCGCGTTGGAGGCCGCGTTCTCGTCGAGCATGAGTTGCACGACTGCCGCGTTCAGCGGGGCCAGCCACGCGTCGTGCACTGCGCCAATCAAGGCCCTCAACTCCGCCTCGTCTGGCAGCGCCAACTTGGCCAGCGCCGCGACGACCCCCCCCCCCCCCCCCCCCAACCACTGGCGCTTGTTGCCACCCGACTTGCTGCCTTGACCGCCGCCCCCTCCGTTCCCTGTGTTGGGCTCCTTGTGCGCGGGCGGGTTCTCGCCGCCTGCTCGCCTTGCCATCCGCGCAAGTCTGGCTTCTTCTGCCATGCGGATCTGTGGGCTGCCGAAGAAAAAAAGGGCTGGTCCTCGGTCGCGCACAGGTGTCAGCATCGGCCGCGCGCTCCAATGTCGAGGAAAATTGACGCGGACGTGCTGCTGGTAGCTGGCCACACCTGAGCCACTAAACTCACATTTGAGCCACGCACGTTGCAAGCCATCAGGCTGTCGCGAAGGTTCTTGAGCACGCCCCCCCCCCCCCCCCCCCGCCCTGAGCAGCGGCCGCCCCGAATCAGGGACCCCACCAAGTGCCTACTAGCAGTGGCCTGACTCGGAAAAAGGCCCCACGCAGTTCGGGCACTGGCTGGTGCCGCACAACGCGCGGCGCAGGGATCTGAACCCATGATGGAATCGCATATGGTTCAGGGCTGCTCTTTTATCTGGAGTAAGCGTGCCGCAACTATTCTTCTCTCTAGAATCGCCCATATAACAGAAACCGCATTCGCATTCAATACCTCCCTCCTGCATGTTCACCTCCTCCTCCAAGCTAGAAGCCTCGCGCGTAGTCTGGTGGGGGAATCGCCGCGGCATGTTGCCTGCGTCGGAGAAGAGTGAAATCAATGTTGCAGAAGGCTTTTCCAAGCTCCACGCCCCGCCGCAGTGCCACGAAAGAGCCTCTGCAAACGGGCGAGCAACTCCTCGCCCTCCTCCAGCGCAGACAGACTCTCCAAGTCCGGGAAGAAGAGTCTCGCCCACGGATTGGCGCAAGCGGTGAGTCGCCCCATATAGGCACACTGAGGTCGACCATCTATGGGGGGCTCCGCGAAAAGGGCGGCGGCGATCTGAACGCGGCGAGCGGGGAAGCGCACAATCTGCGCCAATCAGTTCGACCGACGAACCCGGAGTTCCAAGACAGCGGGGTCAGCCTCCAGCGTTGAAAACCTGGCTCAGTCGCAAGGATATGTTTGTGTCTATCTCTATCCCAACTGACCCCCCCTTTCATAGGCACTCTACAATGCTTGACAAAAGCCGCGTCGGTACGCTTGCACTGCCCCTCGGCGACCAAGAAAGAACCCACGTTCTAAACATTCTGAATTCCCATGAGAACTGACCGTCTAAGTCTACAAGCTACTTCCTTAGTTCCCCAAAACTTACCCAAGGAATGATAATGTGCTTGAGGAGCCGCAATCCC